GAGAGTTTGTTTCATCTTATGTGCCTTTTCTGAGAGTAAATGTTGCATGGAAGTATGGCAAACCACAGCGAGTAACTCCTCTTTAAAGGTGGAGCATTCATCGTTTTGTGCCAGCCGGATCAATGATACCCGCACCGCGGTTTGGGTTCTTTCTGTGACAGCTGCTTTTTACTACTTGCGGTACTCGCGCCTCCACCTTTTCCCACTTTTCGTTCCTTTCTTCATAAATTGGAGTGAAGCGGGCATTGAGCGAATCCTCCTCGGTCGTTTACCGAGATCCCTGGCCTTGTCTGGGTCGTCTCTTCTCACTATTTTTTCCGCTTTCTCCTGATAATTTCCTAAATTCTTCTCGTCTGGTAGTCAGGATTCAACCCCCTATGGCTTGATCGTATTTATTTCACTCTTGAGGTCTTTGGCTCTAGCATTTTATGCGCCCATATTTTCTCACCTCCAGGTCGGTCGTCTTTGATCCTGGTTTTTTCCCTAGATCTGAGGCTTGTTCCGTTTACTAACTCAGATAAAGAATTTTGAATAGAGAGTTTTTGATCCTCTCGAGAGGCAGTCTCCTACAAAAAAAGAGAAAACATGAAGGCCCAGAAAACACGAGGGATGCGATGGCTCTTTGATGCTCAAGTTAGAAATCAGTAAAAGAAAAGACCACTAAGTTTAATGGGCTCTTTAAGTGGAAGATCAAACAAGCCAAAAGCTCTTAGGAAGGAATGATTCTACCCGGCCCTAAGTTTAGTGGACTCTTTATGTGGAAAAGCTAAGAAGTGTAAAATTTTGAAGGTGGAAGTGCTCTACACTTTAGGAACCGCCGTGGACTGGAAGTGAGAAGGTGGTCAGAACGATGACCGGAAAATGGGAATGTTAGACCTTATAAGTTACAAGTATATAGAGAGAAACATAAGCTCAAAGGTAGCAAAAAGATTGAGCCCCTTTCTCGTTGGAAAATGTTAAGTATTCATAAAGTTTTATCTAACCCAGTTTAATATACCGAGTTGAACCTCGGATTGTCGGGTTGGCGGGTCGGTCTAGGATCCAGCGTGGTTGGATACGAATCTTGTTCTTACCAACTTTCCTTGTCATCTTCCGCAAGCTACGACACCAGCCCTTGAAGTGTCTCTTTCACTCTTAATATATGGTTTAAGTTTGGCGGTTAAGACATGGTATGGTCTTTGCTAAGCTTCTATCTTCCTTTGTATCCTGTGTGTGATCACTATCACCTGACACGTGTAAGCACTGAGAATTAAATGTCGATCTCGTGGGTTTACAAAGGTATATGCAATTGATTTAGTCAAGCGCATATTCCAATTGTCGAGTGTAGAGAAATTTGAATAGTGCTTCCTGCTTAGGAAGATATTTATACCTAGCTTGGATCCTTTGATACTAGGATCGGGCTGTCGAGATTGTCTCGCTGGCTGTCGTTTTTCTCTGGATACTTGTGTGGATTACACTTTCTTAGATCCCGGCATTCTTAATTTGGTCCGGGGAGACCGTACCTGCAAAAAAGCCATGGACGCCACGTGCAAGCACATGATTTGTCCATGTAGAAATGATCGAATTTGTCTCCAACATTATTGATAAAAATAGCCTTGTTACGTTATTGGTGACGTTATTTACTACTGAAAAATAGATGGGTTTTTTTTAGACGATCTGAGACTCTTTTCTTTTGATATGGAATGTTAATATTTCTTTTGAACCTTTCACTTAGATGTTCTTGTGTCAAATGAGCTTCCTTTCTTTTGATATTGAAGGTCTATATATTAGGTGGAGATGAATATATTGACATGTTGTAAATGATGGTTTAATATATGGAAGAACAAAGTGTACAAAGGCGTCTATACTATTATTTACTTTAAACGAATACATGTTGTCGGAAATACAAGGTAAACATATTTAACACTTTATACATATAGATATATGATCTTACACTTGAGCTTCTTATTGTTATTTTAAGTCATACTTAGTAAACTTTGTTTAATATTTTTCTAGGTGAGGAACATACATATTTTAGCTAGGACAGTATTGATACTTATGATAAGGATAAGATTGACGAAAAAGTCTACACCCAGTAATTTCTTAATATTATTAAGATCTCGGGATTGCCGAACCATCAATTAAAACTAAAAATAGAAACACATATTATGTTGCTTCAAAATATTAACCCTGGAGGTGGTTTATGCAATGGAACAAGATTCTTGGTAACACAATTGGCCAAACATGTTATTCAAGCTAGCCACATAACTGGTGAGTATATTGGTCAAAAGGTCTTGATCCCACGAATGTTTGTTTCCCCCCACCTATGCGATGACTATCAATAAAAGCCAAGGACAGACCTTGCAAAAGGTTGGACTGTATTTACCAAAACCCGTTGTTTCCCATGGACAACTTTATGTGGCTATTTCATGTGTTACTTCGAGAGCTGGTTTAAAAATTCTGATAACAGATACTATGGGTAAGCCATAAAATAAATAATTTGAATGTTGTATACAAGACCGTCTTTCAGAATTTAAGAAAATGCTAATTTATTTTATTTGTTTTGGTTTAGATATTTACTAATTAATTTAATTCCTTTAATGACATTTTAGTTTACTTATGCTTCAGAATTGATACTTTTTCTAGTAAATATAAAGAAAATTGAGTACAAAACTATAATGGTGTTTGAAAAATACACATTGAAACAACCTGCAATTTAAAGATCTATGGTATTGCAATGTTGTATATCAGCAAATATTGATGCACATAACAATAATGGTCATGGTTGATAAAGTGATCGATAAGTTTTTTTTTCAAAAGTACCATTATCCAACTATTGAAATTTATGAGTTTATCAATGATGTGGTTGTCGGTGTGTCGAGGGTTGTCAAGTTTTACCCTAAATGAAATCAATAGCTGCAAGTGCACAGCTGATCGATTGTAGTACTTAGGGATCGAATCCACAGGGAAGGAGGATCTTTTCCTGCAAAAAGCCTTTGAAAGAAATATAAAGTAAGGAAGTTTAGAACCAAACGGTTTTGTGGGAGATTTGGTGGTGTGTTTAAAATGTAAAAACGAATCTAAAAATAAACTATGGAAATTGAAATGACCTAATAACTAAACTTAACGAAAATGAATAAAAACGAGAAAAACGGATATTCTAATTGCTTAAATGAAAATTAACTAAAAAGGAATGAGAATATTGAACTAAAGCTTGAAATAAAAACGGTGTGAATCTATATGAAAGAAGGCGTTGGGGTTCAGGGAAGTTTTCTCAGGGGTACAAACGATTCAAAACATTGCTAGAGAGTAAAATTGATAAGATCTTAGCTTAAACTTTTCGAACTGGAGTCACGGACGTATAAATACGCCACTGTCGTGATCATAGACAACTATCTCTCTCAACCCTGACCAGTAGGTTTCCACTCTGGCCCTGGAAAAGAAGAGATGCATTATGTTTAAGACTCGTCAGCATTCACAAATCGCCCATAGGTAGGTTTCCACTCCTATGTTTGTTTTGCTCTCTCAAACTAGATCTGACACCGGATGAACACTTTCGTGTCACCAAGCATCTGGATCGGATTGTAGTTCATGACGCTACTCTCATGCAATAAAAACGAATTCAGAAGAAAAAGTTCTAAGATTCGGCTCAAAAGCTCATGGAATCCTCATCGAACATATAAATCCCCGTCGAAAATCCCTTAATCCCAACAATAAAACTACTCAGACATGATGAACGAAATCAAAAACATAGTATTAAAAAGTAGAATAGAAACCGAAATTGAAAAAGAAAGAACAAGGGTTCAAGAGACAAATCTCTCTCTCCCTAAAAGCTAAAGTAAAAACAATAAGAAAAATATAAGGTAATGATTCGGTTTTTTTTCGATTACGGTTCCTAAAACATGTATTTATAGTGCTCAAGACATCTCTGGACGTCACTTAGGGTTTCTCCAAATGAGGGAATCATTGTGGGCTTCAGAAATGGGCCTTCGGGCTCGGAGTTGGCTGGCCGTGGTCGGGATGGCTGTGACCGTGGGGAATGGCTTGCTGGCCGCGGTCGCGGTGCTTCTGACCGCGGTCGCGGTGCTTATGACCGCGGGAAATTGCTTGTTGGCCGCGGGTGGAAATGCCTGCCGGCTGGTTTACGGGACATCTTGCTCTTCGCGTATCTTTTGATTGAACCGTTGGATTGCCAAGCTGTAAAGTGTGCTGGAAATCTGATACTTCCATCTTTAAGATCTCCAAATTTGAGCTGGATCAGACGGTGAGAAGGCCTTCAATCATGGGTGAACTTCAGACGGTTTGACTCTGAGCTGAAATCTGGTTTTCTATTCATTTTGTTAAGTTTTTCCCTAAGTTACCTGAAAAGAGTTTTGGAACTACAAATACTACAAAAACGTAATAAAAGTACTTGAAAGCAATTAAAAACATAGAAAAAGTATTTCAAAACGATCCATAAAAGTGGTCAAAATACGGTGTTATCAATCAACAATACAGATCACAATAACAACAAATACTCTTCAAAATTTTAAATGTTTATATAAGATCTAAGCTTTTTACCATTATAAAAAAAATTAATAAATGATTCATGATAGTTAGTATTGTTTAAACAAGAGAATATTAAAACATATCATCTGAAAGATTATATATAATTTACAAATCTTCTACTTATCAGTGATCGCCTCTACAAATTTTATAATCAGTTTTGCATACATCGCAAGTCCGCGCTTGGCACGGATTCCATTATAGTATTTTTGTTTATTTATTAATTTACCGTAAGAATAATTAAAATCCAGAAGTCGACAAAAAAAAGAGGAAAGTAAAATCCTTCAACTAATACACTTTTTGTTACTTACTTAATTTCGCTAAAATGATGATTAATTTCTCTGCAGGTTATTGAAAATTGATTACTTTGAGATAATTTACTAAACCTAAAGCCGAAACAAAAAATCTACGTATTCACAGCCTAGTTTGATTTCAGATGTGTTTAAAAACGTATGGGCCCAAATTCATAAACTTAGTAGTAGGACAAAAAACCTTCGGTCTGTTGAAGAAATAGAGGGATCACGCATCCACTCAGATCCACAGATTAAAAAACGTAAGAAAAATAAATAAACAAATCAGATTAGCCTTTTGTGTAACATCATTTTTCGGCAATCAGAGAAGAAGAAGTTCATCGCCATGGGACAAGTTTTCGACAAGCTCCGAGGTTAATTATCTCTCTTTCCGTTTTAAATTGATTTCAGTTATAAAGTCCACACAATAAGTAGTTAACACCCAAAGTAAAACAAATCGGTTTGATGGTGAAGAAATTGTTCATACATAATGAAATTGGTTCTTATGTAAATTATAGAATCTCGATTGTTAATTACAGGTAAGCAGTGGAGGCAGAAGCAGGTACAGGCGATATGTGATCGGGTTTTTGATCGGTTTAAGCTTCAAACCGGAAAAGCCAATTTTACTTTTGAAGAGCTATACATCGCTGTGCTTCTCGTTTACAAGTAAGATCTTCGATTCTTTTAGGAGTTTGTAGATTCAGAATTAAATATCTAATCTTTGCAGCTTGTTTACTTTCTTTTCACTTGTTGGGATGTTTTCTCAGTGACATAAACAAGGGATTGCCGGGTCCTCATTTCGATCCGCCTTTAAAGGATTTAGTCAAAAGCATGATGACGGTAATTTCTAGAGACTGTCAATAAGCAAACGCCCAAATTTGCTTTCACACTTGTGTTTAAAATGTTAATAGTGTTAAAAATGGTTGACTATCCATTCTAATATTTTAATAGTTACTTAGATAAGAAAGAGAGTTATCGACATTGACTTACCTAGTAGCCCTCTCTAGTATAAATATGTGTTGCGTTTTACAGTTTAACACACAACAATAATAAGAAAAAAAAATCTTCTCTCCACTCACATCACTCTCGACATATACTATAATAATATATCGATAATATTATTTAAAATTTTGTTCAATTTATTCAAAAATTTATATATTATTTCGGGATGATAGATTATGCTTCCTCGAATCGATCGTTATGATAGGTTAAGTTTTTTCGATCGTATGATTATATGGCAGACTATGTTTTCTCAGGTTATATGTATGGAGTGAAAGGTTAAACCTTCTATTTGATTTTATATTTGTGGAGTAGAAGGTTATATCTCCTCCTCAAAACTATGGTCGACTTTGCTTTCTATATTACTTTAAATATATGTTTAAATTATATATGCGTATTTAAAAGTTTTTATCAATGTTTCTTTAAAAACAAAATTTCAATTGAATTTTTGCTAAATTTATGATATGCATACAGTTATCACGTCAAATTTGGCAAAACTCGAAATCCATGTCCTTGATGTGTCTAAAAGAAATTGTATGTCATGGGCAATATGTGCAAAAAATACATCTAAGAAACAAGCTTTTCGATACCATCGATAAGTCAATAATTAAACAAGCAGCAGACCAATCCGAATTTCTGGTTTGACTCCGGTTTCCTGATTTCCTAATTTTTTTTTTTTTTTTTTTTTTTGACTGGTGTCGACCGACACTGATGGTGGTGTCGCTCGACACCAAGCACTTCGTATCTGTTACACCTAAAACACAAAAACATAAAACAAAAATCAAAAGAAACAAAAAGACTTATGTGCAGACTTACCAGTGGGTTGCCTCCCACCAAACGCTTTTTTTAAGTCATTAGCTTGACTTGATGGATGGACTATGCATCTGGTGGATCAGACAGTGGCAAAGAATGCCTCTGTGAAAGCCGTCTCATCCATGGTGGTGTGTAAGCGTTGTGCGCATGAGGTCGTCCAAGGAATGCAGGAATAGCACCAGGGTGAGATCTGTGTTTGGGTGACCTTGACCTTTGCTTTGGTGGAGATGAATGGAACCTGATGTTGTGAGCTTCCTGATCAACAGCAGTCACTGGTTCTGTAGACTTTTTCGTCAACTCAGGTTGATCTCTCACCTTTTCAGCATCAAACACGTTCGGATCTCCAACTATCACTTCAGGTATTGCACTGACTTGGAATGTCTGACCATCTATGGTTGAATCCTTCAGCTTCTCCATCTTGAAAGTCATGATGGTATCTCCCAGGTGGAGATCAAGGTTACCATGCTTGACATCAATTACCGCTCCAGCTGTAGCTAAAAACGATCTTCCCAGGATAAGAGGATCTTTGGGTTCCTCTCCATATTCCAGAACCACGAAATCTGTAGGAATTATGCATTCACCAACTATAATCGGAACATCCTCCAAGACACCTTTTGGGATTCTTTTAGATCGATCTGCTAGGATCAAAGAGATCTTAGTTGGCTTGAAGCCAGTCATCCCAAGGTTAACAGCTACAGAGTATGGCATGAGGTTGACTCTCGAACCAAGATCACACAGCGATCTCTTGAACCTCTCTGAGAAGATAGAGCAGTCCAAAACAAAGCTTTCTGTGTCCGAAAGCTTCTCTGGCATCTTATTCTGAATCATAGTACTGACCTGTTTAGAAATCATCATCACTCCTTCCTCATGACTCAGATTATTAGTCACCATCTTCTTCACATAGTGTTTGAGAGTAGGAGCAATCTTCACAGCATCAACCAAAAGAATCTCAATCACAAGCTTCTCCATCAAAGCCTTGCATCTGGCATCGTCTAGCTCCTGCTTAGAGTTCTTAGGACTCCTTGGGTATGGAATCTTAGGTTTGTAAACCTTTTCCTCAACTGGCTTTGGCTTCTTAGTGATATCTGATTCAGTTGGCGGCTGGTGTCGCTCGACACTAGTGGTGGTGTCGCTCGACACTGCTAGTGCCTTCTTCGTATCTTCGACTTGGTGTCGCGTGACACTAGTGGTGGTGTCGCTCGACACCGGCTCTGCAGTTTTAAAATCTTCAGCAGATTCCTCCAGTTCCACGATTTCATCCTCACAAACACCCTTTTTAAGCTCATGAGTAAGCTTTTTACCACTTCTCAACGTGATGGCACTGCAGTAATGTCTTGGGTTGGTGTCAGTCTTCCCAGGAAGAAATCCTTCATGCCTTTTTACAGCCTCAGCAGTTTGAGCAACTTGAATGTCCAGCTTTTTGACATGAGTGTTCAGAGCTTCGAATTTTCCATTGAAATCTAGATACAGAGCATCAATCTTCCCATTGAAATCCACAGTAATCTTTTGCTGACCTTCCAAGATCTGTTCCAGCATAGATTTCATCTCATTATCAGGAGTTTGAGGAGGAGGAGAACCATAATTCCTTGAAAACCTGTTGTTGGAGTAGGATGTCTGGTACTGAGGATTGGAGTTATAACCAGAAGAGTTCTGATTACCTGTGAAGGTACTCCTCTGATTATTTCCATTGTAATTCATGTTCCCTGACTGAGTACTAAATCTCTGGCCCTGAAATCCAGCTCCATTGATGAAGTTAACATCCTCTTGCTCAGCTTCTTCATCAGGTTCGAATCTGACAGATTTCTTACCCACAAGAAGACTGTGCACAGAGTCCAGCTTAGCCTTCACCTCAGCAATCTGCGATCCATCCATGTTTCCAGCCTGCTTCCTTCGCTGATAGTCTGCATTCTTTGTACTATTGCTAGATGCCAAGTTCTCAATAAGCACAACAGCATCTTCAGGATATCTGGTGTTGAAATTCCCATTACTTGCAGCATCAAGCGCCATCTGATACCTCCAATCAACACCTTTGAAGAAAATACCCAGAAGCTGAACATCACTGAAACCATGATGTGGATAATCTCTCTGATACGATTTGAATCGCACCCAAAAAGCCTTGAACGCTTCAGTTGGTTCTTGAGAGAATGTCGAAATTTTTGTTCTCAATTCCTCAGACCTAGCATCATCAAAGAAGTTGTGCAGGAAGGAATTCCTGGTCTCCTCCCAAGTAGTGAGTGATCCTGGCTCCAACTGCTTCAACCAGTTAGCTGCTTCTCCAGCAAGAGAATAAGGAATCAGCTTGCAGAGGAGGAAATCATTAGACACTCCATTGTATTTGATGCTGGTGACCAAGTCCTCAAACCTCTCGATGTGATCCATAGGGTGCTCATGAGAGTGACCATGAAAAGGATGCTGTCCCACAAGAGTGTAATACACAGGCTTCAGCTCAAAGTCATTCCTCTGAAATGCAGGAGCGCGAATCGCAGACCGATTTGCATAGAATTGCTCAGGTCTGTTGTAGTCACCCAGCGTCCTGATAGTGTTACCCTCTCCATCAAGTCGCTGGCCTCTCTCATTACACACATGACCATCTTGGTCTCTCCAGACTCCAGCATCATCACGAACCAATGCCAATGCGTTCTCCATCTCTGCTGGTTTCTGAGACAAAGAGAAAGAACAATGTAAGTAATAAAGTAAAAAAATAAAATTAAGAAAAACGATGGGTGTCGCGCGACACCAGTGCTGGTGTCGCTCGACACTAAGAAAAAATTAGTCGAAACTCAAGAATTAAAGTCTAATGGCGAAAATCAAGTCCCCGATAACGGCGCCAAAACTTGATCTGCTCAAAGTTTAATTCCTAGAGCTACTCTGCAAGAGCACATATGTGCAGTTGCAGTATTGCAGGGGTCGAACCACAGAGACGAGAGATTCACTCAATAAACCAATTAGACTCGAATTACGCTAAGCAAAAACAATGAAATTAAAAGCAGCAATGAAATCAAAACGGTTGTAAACTCGATGGAAAAGAATTAGGCTTAGGGTTTTTCTCAGGAAATCAGAGAATGCAGATAAAACAACTAGTCAAGATTCAGGTTAAGCGCGGTTCTTGAACTCAAATCACGAAATTATAATTAACCAACTTTCGTTGCGAGAATTCTCTAAGTCTAAATCCTAGAATCCCAAATTTCTTTGCAAATCCTAAAGATATAAACTAGCCTTAAGTGCAGGTTTGATATGTTCATAACGTATCTAAACCAAATTTCTTTGCGGATAGCTACTTTGCTCACCATAGGTTCTTTCCAGTTATTCAATTACACTTTCGTGTCAATCAATTAACCTAAGATCTAAGTTCTAGGTGGCCAGTCCAGAATTAGCTTTAAGAACAACCTATGGTGAAGAACTAATCAGATTATGAACCCTAACTAGCAAATCAATCCAACATTCAATGAAATTCCTTATGAGAACCCTAAACCTAACAAGCTAACTACTCAGATATGAATATTAAAGCAACAGACATGAATGAATAGATTGCAAATAAGAAATCACTGAATAAATAACAGGGGTTCGAAATCTTCTCTCAAAACAAACAGAGTTCAGACTTGTCTCCCCAAAAGCTCTCAAAAGTAAAGATGACCAAAGTTTTCTCTCTGAAAGTCTAAAAATATAAAAGGTCTCGATGAAGGAGGCAGAAACCCTTCTTAAATCTAAAAACACGTTTTGGGCCTTTTTGTAAATACTAAAGACTTCAGGGCTTCACAGATTCTTCAGAAATTGGATAAAATCGCGTTTTTCCTTTTGTGGTCTTCGGTGTCGAGCGACACCGATGGTAGTGTCGAGCGACACTCGTGCACAGCTGAAATCATCCTTCACGAAAATCGATCCATTTAGCTCCAAAATGCTCCAAAATCTCCAATTAAGGTCCAAACGTACCTAGGACCTGTAAAGACTCCAAAAGACTCGAAAAACACTAAAAAGACTCTATAAATAAGACATATATCATGGACAAAAACCATAAAAACCATGATATATCATGTATGGGTCGGGTCGATGGTTCAGATGCGGTATAGCTCTTGCTGAACCTCTGCTTTTCCCTCTAATTACTGCGAAATGTCAATGTCGCCTGACACATGTAAGAAAGATGCATTAAATGCTAATCTCGTCGGTTTGTAAGGGTATGAGCAATCAAATTAGACTAGTGCATATTCCTATTATCGAATGGAGAAAATTTTGAATAGTGTTTTCCACTTATAGATTTACTCATACCTTGCCCGGTTCCCTCGATATTGGGACAGGGCTGCTGGGATTGCTTAGTGATGTGTCTGTTGTGTGAGGGTTGTCAAGTTTTATCCTAAATGAAATCAATAGCCGCAAGTGCACAGCTGATCGATTGTAGTACTTAGGGATCGAATCCACAGGGAATGAGGATCTTTCCTGCAAAAGCCTTCGAAAGAATATAAAGTAAGGAAGTATAGAACCAGGCGATTTTTGTAAGGGTTTTTGTGGTGTCTTTAAAACGTTAAAACTAATCTTAACGAGAAAATACGGAAATTAAAATGACCTAATAACTAAACTTAACGAAATTGACTAAAAACGAGAAAAACGGCTAAACCTAATTGCTTAAATGAAAATCAATTAAGAGAATGAAAATGATGAACTAAAGCTTGAAAGAAAATCGGTGTAAATCTCTAGAAAAGAAGGCGCTGGGTTTCAGAGAAGTTTTATCTGGGGTATGAACGATTCAAAACATTGCTAAAGAGTAAATTTGATAAGATCTTAGCTTAAACTTTTCGAACTAGAGTCACGAACGTATGAATACGCCACTGTCGTGATCATAGACAACTATCTCTCTCAATCCTGACCAGTAAGTTTCCACTCTGGCCCTGGAAGAGAAAAGATGCATTATGTTTAAGACTCGTCAGCATTCACAAATCACCCTTGGGTAGGTTTCCACTCATATGTTTGTTTTGCTCTCCCAAACTAGATCTGACACCGGATGAACATTTTCGTGTCACCAAGCATCTGGATTAGATTGTAGTTCATTACGATACTCTCATACAATAAAAGTAAATTCAGAAGAAAAAGTTCTAAGATTCGGCTTCAATAGCTCATGGAATCCTCATCGAACATATATATCCCCATCAAAAATCTCACTTGACCCAACAATAAAACTACTCATATATGATGAACGAAATCAAAAACATAGTATTAAAAAGTAGAGCAATAATCAAAATTAAAAAAAGAAGAACAAGGGTTCAAGAGACAAATCTCTCTCTCCCTAAAAGCTAAAACTTAAAAAGTATTGTAAAACAATAAGAACATATGAGGTGATACGAATTAGGGTTCCTAAAACATGTATTTATAGTGCTCAAGACATCTATGGGCGTCACTTAGGGTTTCTCCAAATGAGGGAATAATTTTGGGCTTCAGAAATGGGCCTTCGAGTTCAGAGTTGGCTGGCCGCGATCGGGAAGCCTCTGACCGTGGTGAAATGGTTGTAAGCCGCGGGTGGAAATGCTTGCCGGCTAGTTTACGGGACATCTTGCTCTTCGCGTATCTTTCGATTGAACCATTGGATTGCCAAGATGTAAAGTGTGCTGGAAAGCTGATACTTCCATCTTTGAGATCTCCAAATTTGAGCTGGATCAGACAGTGAGAAGGCTTTCAATCGGGGGTGAGCTTCTGATGGTTTGACTCTAAGCTAAAAATCTGGTCTTCTATCCATTTTGTTAAGATTTTCTTTAAGTTTCTTGAAAAGAGTTTTGGAACTACAAATACTAGAAAAACGTAATAAAAGTACTTGAAAGCAATAAAAACATAAAAAAAATATTTCAAAATGATCCATAAAAGTGGTCATACGGTGTTATCACTTAGATGGATGACTCTACTATCTGGGTACCTATGCAGGCCACACTTCCTTATATTTTGACTCTTTCGAATTCCCAGCTTAGGTCTAGGACATAGAGAAAGTGATATCTTCTTCTCCTTACCACTAATTTTACGACCTCCTTATCCATGACTGTTTGGCCTGCACTGTCAGATACAAAGAATCCGGGAACATGTGGCCTATCATGTCGGATCTCCTGAATCCGAATGGATAAGAAATCCGGTACTATATGCTTAAGTTGTATTAGACCATAAGTTTAATATGAATCTTAATTTGGTCTAGAAAGGCTGTACCAATAAAAAAGTCATAGACGCTATATGCAAGTATGCAATTCATCTATGTGGGAATGACCGAATTTATACCGAACAGAAAAATTAAAACAAATTCTCAATTTTTTTGTTCAAAATGTCAAAAAAATTCACACTTTAATTTATCAATTTCTTTCACAAAATCGAAAGGCAAAACCCAAACAAATATATTTTGTGGTTCATTTAGAAAGCATACACTCTAAAAAAACGGCTGGATAATGCATAAAACGAGTAGGATATAGTAATCTATACTTTTGGAATCAATTTCCAAACATCTCTTATTTTTTTAAAAGATAAATTAAAGCTGTTGCCAAACTATATTAAATATGTTGCCAAACAATATTAAACAAATATGTTATTATTATTTTTTATTATCATCAATGAATATAAAAATTAAATTGTTGAAATTAATAAATATTTAAATTTTAAATTAAATTAGAATAGGCGAGTTAAGATTATAGTTTTATAATGGCGTTTTTTTACAGGTTGTTCGTCAACATCTAAAATAGTATGTTGATTGGAGACATGTTAAATGCGGGTTATCCCATTTTAATACCCATGAATACATATATTGGTTGTGTTGTCATATAATATCAAATTATAAAAAAGTTTACAAAATGGATCATAAAATTTGGATAGCTAAAATCATTAATTTTGAATCAGACCTGTTATACCATAAATATATTTTCATACAATATAAAAACATAAAACAAAAATACAAATAAAATTTGCTGTTCATCCTCTATTGAGATTAAATTTTTTAAAAAATTTTTGCGAACAAGTTTCTTATCTCTTATAATTATATCAATGTAATGAAGTTCTGGTTTCAAATTTTATTTCAATACATTAAATATATCAAAATAACATAACATATCATGAGCGAACGAGTCGTAAGAATCTAGTTAATTTTAAAAATGTTGCTCCGAGTAATAAGCTGACATCCCACATGTAGTTATCCTTCCCCAAGAATTTGGTTACTCGGGTAAGACATCAATGGTGCCGGGTGACCCACTCTGACTTGAAATGCAGAGGATAGGTAGAATCCTAAGTGTTTAGGAAAATATTTTTATTCTAAGTGCTCATATTGTTTGTTTGATGTTCTTGTAATAGGACTGCGATATTAACTTGGATGGAGAAATTGATCGGGAGGAGTTCGTGAAGTTTGTTGAGCTGCTTACGGCTGACACATTCGCAGTGGTGAGTCAGGGTTTGATCATATCGTTGATTGTGGCTCCGACTGTGGCTATTGCGACAAAGAAGGCCACTGAAGGTGTCCCCGGAGTTGGAAAAGTAGTGCAGAAGCTGCCAACTTCAGTGTATGCTTCTCTTGTGACTCTTGCAATAGTGTGGGCGAATTCTGATACAAGTTAAGCTTCTTAGATTTCAAAAGCTTGCTACCCAAATAAATGTGTTTATACTCAACTGCTAGAACAAGTTCTTTGAGCACGAAAATATAGAAACAATGCAAGTTTTGATTGAAATAGTAGTTTATTTCATATTTGGATGATACTACCTTTATGAGTTTAGTCTTACTCGATAGCTATTCAAACTTTGACGAATTATTGACCACAAAAGCAAACAGTTTTTGTAAAAGTAAAACCTTATATTGTCCGCTATTTTAATATCTTAGGGCTTGAACGTTTTTATATATAAGGAAAGAATGTACGTGGCCAGTGTTAAGTATATTGAAAGTTATTATTTATGTTTATGACGGGCTCATATTGGTTTATAGTATGATCGCACCAATCTGCAAAATATGTAGTAATTGACCAAATGTTTTGTATTATTTTCCACCTACAGAAATGTTTTTGTAATTGACAGATTCTGGGGAAATAACCATAGAAAAATTAAAAATACAGAAAATGAGAACAATACGTGACATATTTCTGGTTAGCCATCGGTAACTAGGCAATCGAATATTCTATGCAAATTTGAAAATTGAGAATTGGATTACAAAGATATCTGGAAAAAAGAGTCATAAAATTGACACACTAAATTCGTATGCATGAATCCTATTTTAAAACTAAATGACAAGAGGGCATCGTAACCCATTAATTGTTGTCCTTGTTACTGCAATAAAGTGTATAAAAATTCCTTATTGTCAATGATTAGTAAATTGAAAATGGAAGAAAATAACAGAAAATAACTAACCTTTATGGATTTGAATATTATAAATTGAATTAAAACAAAAGTTCCAGACCCTCTGCTATCATTTGTGAATAAACTCTTCACAACAAAATATTCAATCTCAAATCATGAACTTTTGGTTAGCAGATGTTCGAATAAATCCTGAAATTATCTACTTACTCAAGTACGTATTAATTGTATGATCCTTTGCAAATGAAATAATGAGTATAGTTTATATATGTTAAAAAAAAGTTGAAATAGTTTAGTTAGTTATAATTTTCAAAAAAATTTAATAGTACATTTGCATCAGCAATAAGCAATTCTAATGTTACGCCTTAATGTAGTATATATTCAGTCAACTTTCTCAACAATTTAACACAGATGCACCATTCAGTCAAACTGGGATTCACGCCTTCAATGTAATTAAATGCATCCATTTTGTGCTCTGAAGTGAAAATACTTAATTGTATTATATATATTGAAAACATTCAAGGCCACTAAAATTTAGGGTTTAGAAGATATTGTTAAGAAATTCAAAATAAATGAGTATATTCGATCATTATATGATAAGTATCTGATATGGTAAATTACAATGTACATTTCCAAATAATATATTGACTGATATAATTGTACTCTGCTTCATGGTAACAATAGGTATATCATAATATATACAAAACTTTAATGATCATTGTGATGAATGTTTATACTCTATTTAGCAGAATTTATTGGTCAAAAATAGTATGCTATATTATAAGTATATAACAACACAAAACCATATGGAAATCATTATAATAACAACATAAATGTGAAATAGGTAAGCTATGGTATTTATTTTAAAAAGATGTCAAAGTAGATTAACAATGTTCATAAATAAAGATAATAACCATAACCTCAGTAAAATACTTAAAATCTTGCATACATATTAAAGGGTTCAAGATTATCCCTAAATATAGGGGAATTGTAACAGAGATAGTTGAGTTCATGAGTTAAAATGAAATAAGAGTTGATGGAAGATTTCACGGCCAGCTTGGATCTCCATGAATATCAGTAAAATGTAACCTCTATGATTGTACGAAAAAATTAAGATTCACGCAAAATGAACTGTAAAATGAGTATAGGTTTACTGAAATTAGTGTTATACCAATCTAGAAAATTGGAAACTTATTTAATATGTGAATTAAAAAAATATTTGAGATTGGTCACCAGCATTTGAGATGAAGAAGCCGCCTATAACAAATATAAATAGTACATATGTTACTTTTCTTCTAATTGAGGATCATTGATGCAATGGAAAACGGGGGTATGTTTACTAAGCTTCAAGTTCTATATTTATAACCTCTAATTGTCTGCAAGTGCACAGATGTGCGTTGTAGTACTTAGGATATCAATCCACAGAGACTTAGTTGCTTCAGTATGAATTCACGCTAATGCTTAAATCAGACTAGAACTTAAAAAATTGGGTTTTGGTTTTGGGTGTTACTAAATCGAAACTAAAAAGCAAATCAAGTAAAAAGCAAATAAAAATAAAAGGTGTAAGCAATTATAAACGGACGCTGGGCTAAGGGTATTCGCAGGGATTCATGGACTAAACCTATGACGGAAATAAATGATAAAGGCAATCGACTACAGATGTTCTAGAACTCAATCACGGTAGGATGACTAACCTACTCTCATAGTACTAACCAACTGTCAATCATGATTCTGACCAGTAGCTTTCGACTTTGGCCCTAGCCACAATTGTACACAATAGTTAGAACAAGACTCATCTACATTCACAACTCACCCATAGGTAAGGTTCCCCTCCTATGGCATAATTGCTTGTTTCACCTTGGGTCAGCAGCTAATGAAAACTTTCGCAACACCAGTTATCGAGATTGAACTCTAAGTGGGCAGCAGAAAATCAAGCATTAAGCATAAAGGTAAAGAAAGAGCACAGAGAAAATCCTAAATCTAGCGATTCATGGTATAGATACACAAAATTTTCTTTGAAAAATCCCTTTAAACCCAACTGAAAAATTACTAAGACATATCGTATGTAGACATCATAGAGTAATAAAAATCGCTGGAAATTAATTACAACAAGGAAGAAGAATGAAAAACGGAGATACAGATGGAGGTGCGATGATCCTCTCCTCGGCGGCTCCTTCTATGGTTTTTTGAAAGAATGAGGCACACACACAAATCTCTCTCCCTCTTCAAGAACTGCCGTTTAGAATGACCTAATAGAGGTATTTATAGCTTCTGGAGTTGTCTTGCACACTTAGGGCTTCAAATATAATGCTGGGATAAACTTGGGCTTTAATTAAGTCGTCTTGGGAGGTGAACGTTGTCTGGCCGCGGCCGCGGTGCTTGTACCGTGGGGAAATGTGGCTTGGACACGGTCACGACTCATGGTCTCCTTCGAAACTGCATTTTGTGTCTTTAGTGCATCGGGAATATCTGAAGATCTAACCGTTGGATTGTCTCCAAAGTCTCGTCCGAATTGCACATCTTTAGTCCAAGTTTTCTGAAAAGTCTTTTGAAACTCTAAAACATTGAAAACACTTTAAAATATTGAAAAAAAGTTAAAACACCTGCATAAGACATTAATATGATCCATAAAAGTGACCAAAATCCGGTATTATCAACTCCCTGAGACTTAAACCTTTGTTTGTCCTCAAACAAAATATAGATCAAGCCAGCAAAGAATCTTAAAAATCGCAGGAACTACCATCCTTCTAAACCATAACCTATCGCAAAACATCTGTTTGGATATAGGTTAGAAAATTCTCACCAAAATACAAGCATAACTAGTCCGTTGATCCATCATGCGAAAATCTATACTCTTAGACTAAACTTCCAGTCAACTAGCTCTTTACATTCATTAAGTGTATAGTGAATTCTCATCCAAGACATCATTTATGGTAGACGGCGTTTGGTATTAAGGGCTATTTAAGTGGCGGACTCAAAGTGTTTCGGGTTACCTGAAGATCTAGAGGATGCAAGATATTATGCAAAACCGCATGAGAGAGTGGACCTGTTGTTGCCCGCAATTTTCAGTCACTTGTTCTTGCAAAATTTTGTTGCACAATCCTTCCTCCTTTGTTGAAAACAGGTACCACCCCCAGACTTAGATCTTTTCCGGAAATCAGAAAAATAATCTCCCAAGACTCCAAATAATCAGACAAAAGCTTGCCTCAAGGATAAAATTTGATCCTCCTAGACTCTTTAAGGTTTTTATTTCCTTTCCCTTCTTATTTTTCTTTTTTTTTTCCTTCTTTTTTTGATATTTGTTTTTGTTTTTTGAAAGGGGAAACAAGCTTTTATTAAGATAGGGAGTCTAAGAGACGGAAATATATCAATGTTTTGCAGGTTTTCCGAGGCAAAGCAGATTTTCTCTTTTGTTGAATCATTGATAACGAAGACTTTTCAGCCTTTATAGAGGTATCAATCCCCTGTCTATGCAGTACAAGGGGTTATCAAACCAAACTTGTGGAGAGGCACTAATCTATGATGCTTATTAACTTAAGTCAAGTTGATCAAGCAAAGGTTTTGAATCTTAGAACTTTTTCTTCTGAATTCGTTTTTACTTCATGAGAGTGGCGTCATGAACCACAATCTGATCCAGATGCTTGGTGACACGAAAGTGTTCATCCGGTGTCAGATCTAGTTTGGGAGAGCAAAACAAACATAGGAGCGGAAACCTACCTATGGGCGATTTGTGAATGCTGACGAGTCTTAAACATAATGCACCTCTTCTTTTTCCAGGGCCAGAGTGGAAACCTACTGGTCAGGGATGAGAGAGATAGTTGTCTATGATCAGGACAGTGGCGTATTCATACGTCAGTTACTCCAGTTCGAAAAATTTAAGCTAAGATCTTATCAAATTTACTCTCTAGCAATGTTTTGAATCGTTCATACCCCTGAGAAACCTTCCCTGAACCCCAGCGCCTTCTTTCCTATAGATTTACACTGATTTTCATTCAAGTTTCGGTCTAGTATTTTCATTCTCCCAATCAATTTTTATTTAAGCAATTAGGTTTAGCCGTTTTTCTCGTTTTTACTCGTTTTTGTTAAGTTTAGTTATAAGGTCATTTTAATTCCCGTATTTTCTCTTTAAGATTCATTTTTACATTTTAAACACACCACCAAAACCCTCATAAAACTCGCCTGGTTCTAGACTTCCTTACTTTATATTTATTTCGAAGGCTTTTGCAGGAAAGATCCTCCTTCCCTGTGGATTCGATCCCTAAGTACTACAATCGATCAGCTGTGCACTTGCGTCTATAGATTTCATTTAGGGTAAAACTTGACAACCCTCACGCAGACACCACCATCAGAGACTCAGATTTCAAGTTGCCAATTCCATGTGCAATGCAAGACTCTACTTTAATTTTCAAAATTCA